CGCAAGACATTTAAGATATATATCCCAGGACTAAGAATATAAAAATACATGTCAGTGTACACCGATTATTCAACTACCTTTAATGAATCAACACAGGCTTTCCTGATATCCCTACTGAAAAAAACCATTTGAAATTCAAAAGGGGTGGCAAACTGGTAAATCAAACGGGTGCAAACTTGTCGACCCGTTTGGATCAAACGTGATTATGGGATACAGGTAGCCGTTTGAAACGGTACCCGCTCCAAACGGTACACATTTGACACAGGTGCCCGTTTGATACGGGTGCCCGTTTGATACAGGTGCCCATTCGACCTTGCACGTGACCACACGTTCGAACGTGCCATTCGAATAGGGAAATTGTGCGCTAGCCCTAAACGGGGATCGTCTGGTAGGTTGGTTATCTTAAACTTATTTAAGACGTTCCGAAACTCATCAACCTCTTTATAACATGGAGGAAACACGTAGAACAAATGTGCTCACGAAGGTGCTTGCCAATGGACAGGAAAACAGACACAAAAGACTGTTTTCAATTCTCCTCAAAATTTATTACGTCTTCTGTAGACAAGTACAAATGTGCAAGCGATCTGTGAAATGTGAGAGGCACTCTAAGCTTTTATACAACTGAGAAGATAGCAAACCAAACAAGAGCCGAGGTAATTCTAGACTATGAAGGTAGACTTTCGGGAAATTATTCGCCCGGCTACCGCGAGAATAGCGGCTGCATAATTATATAAATAATCTGGAAGAGTACGAGTAGAAGAACGGTCAATCGTTGCCAAGAAGTAGGTTGCAGTGCACTTACCATAACAATAGCGGACTTGAAAGATGTAATCCGTGATAGTCGTCGACACGGTCAAAGCAGGACAACCACACAAACACAAATGAGAGGGAACGGCTTCTTGGAAGTTTCAACACGATGTGGCACACAAGTGTCAGTTGCCGAACCCAACCAAACCGCAAGAATTCCTGACTTCTTCGAAGTATCGCTTGTTGCCGATATAGATCGTAGGACTTTTCGAACACTGATAGCTTTGGTGCACATCCAATACGTTGTCGAGAGACATCCTAATAAGACCGCAGGGTTAGGCGACAGATCAAAGCAGGTGGACGCGCTAAGTTCGAGCTGGAACTGACAACAAGCAGACAAAGAAAAAAGCGGCTGCTAGGCGCACCCATCCGGATCTCGGTGCTTATCAGCGTGTAGCTCGCGCGCGGGTGCGGGCCACGTGACGGGTGACAAGAGAGGAGGGTGGGGGCGACGACCACAGGGACAGCCCCTCTCCCTCTCCCCAGGCATTCCAGAAAGATTTGTTTTTGTAACCTCAAATCAAAAAAAAAAAAAAAAAAAAAAGCACGCGCGCGCATTTTTGCACGCTTGAACCTTGGAAATGGCGGCGGGGCGGCCAGAAGCTCGGCTTGCGCCCGAGCGAAGAAAGTACTCAGCGCGAGCTCGTAGTTTGACTGCTGCAACGGCGGGCGTGCTCTCGCAATGCTCGATGTTCTTGCAGCCGCGTGTACGCGTGCTACCTTCGCTGCGTCTTGAATTAGAGTGAAACGGAGCCTAGACGTACATTCTTTCACGCGGTCGCGTCGTCTGCGAGAGAGATTCGAGCTGAATAAGTAAATTGAGGCAACAAAGATGAACAAAGTTTTAAAGTTCTTTCAAAAATATCGGCTTACCAACGTCGCGCGTTTACGTAAAACAACAAAAAAAAAGTTGTTAGTTTTAGTTGCAGTATAAGCGAACATCAGCGCAATTGAAATATAAATATAATTACTTGCATTACGCGGAAGATCTGAAATCGATGAACCGGCGCTCCCAGCCTTCCGGAAACATTGGCTAGGCGTGCCCACGCCGCCGATCTGTACGTTCAGTATCAAACGGGCTCCGGAGAGCCGTTTGATTAAACCGGTGCAGTTTGCAACATGGTCACCGGTTTGGGCAAACGTGCGACAACTTTGCCCAAACGAGTCACCCATTTGCCCAAACGAGCGACCCATCTGCCCAGACGAGCGACCCGTTTGCCAAAGGAGTGACCTGTTTGTCCAAATAGGTGACCGTTATGGCTCATACCGGTGACCCCTTTGAGCCATACGGACGACCCCTTTGACAAACTGGTGACCGGTATGGTTAAACTGTAACCGGTATGAACCCGTTTATTTTCATATAGGCACCAAATGGTTTTTTTCAGTAGGGATGCACCCTAGATAATGAATAATTGTTGTAACGCTCTCACACCACGTATGCAATTAATCCCAGATAGCACTCTAGATTAGCGAAAGGCCTGAATACAACGCGTGCATTTTGGAGAAGTGTAATGGTCATCTGTACAGATTCGTGGGTAGTATCACAATATATGAAACGTATGAATACGCCCACAGCAAATGCTTCATTGATGTCCAGGTGTACAGATGTGCAGGACTAGCACGTTTGGCACGCTTTGAAAAATTCAAATTCTAAACGCACATACAGAAATTGGGAACATAAATGTAGTTTTACAACAAGTTTTTTTGCTAATTTTCTTAAGAGCTCAAGTCAGAGGCGGTAAAATATTAAAAATAGGGCAGAACCGACGATAGTGCATTCTCTATGCCCCATAGAATGTTGTTCGTCTGCAGATTGGTTTGTGATCTTGCTCCTAGGTGATCATTGTCCATATATGCTGTCAAACGTATTAGTTATCGCGATTATCTTGCTCATCACCAACCTCTGCTTTGCGCTTTTAGCGTTTTTGCCTACAGCAAGCCACCCCGGAGCAGGCTCATAAAGCAGTGCGCAGACGAAAGTCAGGCCGGTGAAAGAAATAAAAAAAAAAGAAACACGCAGATTCCAATCTTTCCTTATTTTGTAATATTTCACTGCCTCAGAATTGAGCTGAAGAAAATAGACATATAACTTCTGACGTAGTACGTTCGCATGCCCTATTTCGGGTTTGTACGTTCGGAATTTTAATGTTTTCAAGGCGTGCACAATGCATGTGTTATTTCTTATGGCCGCGATTTATACAGTACGTACATAGAGCTTGATGGGAAAATAAATTATGAACATATGATTCACTTTCAATTAAACCAGATCAAACTTTGATGGTAAATTTTCGTACAAAATTGACCTTTGCACGAAACATCTCCCTATTTATTTCTTAAAAAATAAATTTTACAGCTTTTGTTAATTTTTGAGCAACAACCTGATGCTGAGGAAAGCTTCTGTACTCGTCAAGTGAAGTTGTATGTTTGTTATACACCTTAAAAAGTAGGTTGAGGTGATCTGAACAAAAGGCGAGTTCTGACAGAAACCACTGCCGGAAGCTGTCGAGAACGCTGTTTGTGTACTGGTGAACTTTAGATTTTTTTATGTGTAATTGCACCGATGACTACATACAACTGATGAAGAATTCCTGCTTTGTCTCACAAACTTGTGTTCGCTAACTATACCTTCTATATGGCGGACGGGTATGACCTGGAGAAGGTGTTCTCGAGATCTTCAGCTCGAAGTTACAAAAGAGAAGCCCGGTATGTCGGTTATGATGCAACTTTCATGAGAAAGAATCTATGATATTTTTTGCACGAATAAAGATTTCTCCCGAGTGAATTTTGACTGCGACAAGTGCAAAATTATTTTTTTTTTACAGTGTATAAAAAAACAAAAGTGCAGCTGGGGATGGGTGTAGTTACTTGACAGGGAAGCGATGGACGAGCCTCAGTACCGCAGCCTGCATTGAGCGAAGACACTTCCGTCAGCAAATTTTCTGAGACTCTGTTTATCTTTCGCTCAATTATTAAGGAAATACAGTGCACCCACCATCCTCCAGATAATATAAGATGCAACCATCACGCTAGCTTTACGCTTTGACCGTGCTTCACCCGAGCCTTATTATTTTTCCATTCGTGAAGGAGTAACATAATGGGACCTATCTCTCGTTCCAGTGGAACTTTATACCAAAGCGTTTTCCAAGTAGTTATTGAGAACTGCCATAGCTGACATTGTCGCAGACAGCACGCACAAGTGATCGTTACCGCAACGCGTCTGTGCTCCCGGACTAAAAATCTTTGGCGAGTTACAAGATCAGGGAGAGATAGGCGCAGTACAAAGCTAATTATACATTTTATAACCTTAATCTATGTTTGCGTCTGCTCCACCTACTGAGCCCAGATTGATCTATCTCAAACCATGAGAAGCGTTTGCAATTTAATGACGGACGCCTTCGGCGGAGGTGGGTCTCAAGGGCGCAAGCGCTGCGTTCTCCCGTGGCGAGGAAGAACGACCGCGTGACTCCGATCGACCTGTTGGAAACTCTGTAATACAGGCTTTCTAGCTCCACCAAGCGCCGCTTGCGCCCCGCAGCTGCACGTCCTCGAACTAACCCCGACCTCACCAAACAATGCTTTGCTGCATATTTCATCAGACACCTCTGTATAGAAGACCAGGCTTCGGTGGGTGTTGACGCTGTCTGCATGCTGCTTATTTGAAATTTTATTAAATGAAATGTTCACGTATTACGATTTTGAACTACAGAAACCTCAATAATCTTTTTTTCAAGCAAAAAAAAAAATTCCGGAAATAGAAAAAAAAAAACAAAAAAAAAAAAAAACGAACTAGGAGACAATGATGTTACAAACACGGCCCAAATGAGAGAGAACATCGTTTAATTAAGCGTCGAAGTGCCAAAAAGCTCCATCAATTTTTTTTTTTCGGGATTTGTTTCGTCCACAAAAAAGATTTTATTCTGAAAAGGAAGCAGGACGCCGCGAGATGAACGTTTTAATAAAAATGCATGATATAAGTGACTGGCCCAAGTTGTCTGTTTAACACAATCAATAATTTAATGAAAAGAAAGTTCTTACGAACGAATTGCATTTTCGAAACGTCCATGAAACTAAAAAAAAAAAAGTCCAAAACGCAGAACTCATTCGCAACATCTCGCAATATTTAGCTACAACGCTGAGATAAATTTCCACCTTGTTTGAATCTTGTTAACTTCTATGGTTAATATTTTTTACAGGCAATGATTTCAAAACAACAGTGCCAATAAATGGAACTTGCAATGCCACTATGCTAAAGGTCACGGAAAATGTGAGTAGTTTCATTCCTTGTCTTTACAGAGTAAGATTTTATTATCCCCAGAACGGATATTCGTCGCAGAGGAATGCAGGATTATAAGCGTGCATAAAATCACGCGGATTTAAAACAAAAATTGTAAGTCGCGTTCTTTCATGGCTTTATGTACTTTTTATGGTGGTTTTTCTGTATTGCATTCAAGTATTTTCTTTACAAACTCTTATGCAATGTTGTTCAAAGGCTTTTAAGGAATCGAACAAAAGTATATATACATATATATATATATATATATATATATATATATATATACATATACCGTGAACGCCTTAGTTTTCGCGGGCTCAAATTTTCGCGAATTGGGCCAAAGCAGAACATTTGAAATCATTCGCGGGTTCTAATCTTCGCGAATCGAGTGTAGCTTCCGTAGCGTTCCCATATTGCCCGAATTGTTCGCCGGACGTATTTTTAGGTCCCCGCAAAAATTTAGTCGTTTACAGTATATATATATATATATATATATATATATACAGAGAGATAGAGAGAGAGAGAAAGAGAGAAACGTAGCGCAGGATGACGAAAAGTATATACGGCAGAGAACGCACTTGAGACGGTTGTTGGAGTTTTTAAAACATATTATTCGTAAAGTTCGTCGACGTTTCGGTCTCAGCCCGAAACGTCGGCGAACTTAACGAATAATATGTTTTAAAACTTCAACAACCGCCTCAAGTGCGTTTTCGGCCGTGAATGCCGCACTTGAAACGAAGTTGAAATATATTAAATATGAACATTCCTTTTCTATTCATTCTGTATTATTTTGTCCACATTCGAAATGCGCTCGTAAGGTATTCTAAATATACAATAAATATCAATCAGAAAAGATTTTAGATATAACAAAACTATAATTCCTTCCCCCTCAAGACGCCATTTGTGTATTAAAAACAGGCTACACAATTTTTTAAATTTTCTTTTCTTTAATTTTCGATCTTGTAGCAAACGGTGTCCCTGCGGTACTTGAAGGCTCTGCGAAATACATCCTACACCTACAGGTTATAGATGAACACCAACACAGACACCATGGCGCACTGAACACCTAGAGCCTTATATAGACTACATATTGAAAGTAATCATTTGGCGAATGACCACCTCTACACGTATTAAGGTTCCAAGTATTCGATCTTCTCCTCGGGAGTCTGTCAAATCTGAAGCAGTGTTTGGAAGATCGTGGACGATATTTCTTACTCAAAACCATTGGTACGAATAATGCAACGAATAATAATACGGCGCCGTCGCTAAAACAATATCCACAAAAACGGCTCCTAGAAGAAATGTTGCTTCTCTGCATAGCACCACTCAGGACGAAGCGAGTCAAGGCGTTTTTTCACTTTGAAATAGTTATTTTGCTTTTCTTTACTAGTTGACTATTTAATGTGGTAATTAACGTCACTATATTGAAGTCACTACTCACATTACGTTTAATAGTGAGTATACACATTCAGTGAACAAACATTCTGCTAACACAACCACGCCAAACATATCTGCTCACAGTACTTGCTGAAGCTTTCCAGCATCATCAAGTGTTGCGGTTGTAGGGGCCCGAACCCCGTTTGTGATTGGTGTGCAAGAAACTCATCACGTGTTCTTGATAGAAAAAAAGGAAACAATCACATAAACTGGGCTGATTTATCAGTGCGATTCTGAACAACTCAATTGACAAACTAATCAAATGTTGTATTTAGGCACTTCAGTGTACTCCACATCTGCTTGAAGTGAACTTCTGATAAGCGAGCTTTACAATACTTTAATAGTTTAAGTCAAACTACCAAAGTATCGCAGTCGAAAGATACTTAGAGTAAAACACAGCAGTATTTACGATTTTCGTGATTGTTAAAAATATTTTGCACAACTTTTTAATCGCTGCATTTTTATTAGGGTTGGAGTATATTTTGCATGAAATAAACAAATATTAAAAAAAAAACTTTATGTGAAAGGTATTTTGGGCCTACTGATTTAGTGCTTACATATTTCAGGACGCATGAAGGGGACTTCAAATGTAGTTTAAAAAGTGGTATTTTAAAAAGATTTTCAGAAATATATTTTAGTACTAGGTACAAAAAAAAAAGCGTATATTTTCGGTCCATTTTTTGTGTACTTACAATTATGAACTGTCTTCAAATACACTCAAATTAGATTGTGGTATATTTCAAAGGGCTTCGTTATCGCTAAGGGATATATATATATGTATATATATATATATATATATATAGGTAAAGTAAGGTAAATATAGAGCAATGGACCGGGAAAAGTTAATAAGTCGAAGATGCATACTGACGGAGTTACCGATACGACGTTTATTAGGACGTTTCGAACATGGACCGCTCTTCATGAGGTGATGAAGAGCGGTCCCGCTCAAAATGTATGTACGTATATATATATATATATATCAGTGTGTCGAACCGAAAAAAATACGGGTTCGGTTACGGTTCAGGTTCAGGTAAATTTATTTTGTTCCGGTTCAGTTCCAGTTCGATTAATTCGATCCACGAACCGGTTCGGGGCGCTGAACCGGTTCGCGAACCGGTTCGGAAATTATAAATGACAAATTGTAACATCAAAATAAATTACAAATAAAACATCTGAAATCAGCACATTCGAAACGGGAAACATCGTAGTGTAAGACTCAGGGATTTCTACCAGGAATGGTTTCTTTATGTGCACTCAAAGGTTACCTCACCGACGTTTACGCATTCGGACTTCATCTAATTGGGTCCGACGCAGTAGCTGTAAAATCCGCGACCTCCCTACAAACCCACTTACAAGTAGAACTCGCTAACTATCCCGCCACCTCGGCGTGTAAGCAATTGAAGGAACAGTGGGGAGAAAATACAGCTTTCTTTATTTAAACTAGCCTTCGGTCACTCAAACTAGACCCTTAAAGAAGTTTTCATTGAACAAGATACGGAATATGAAAAACACTTACCGAACGCAACGCCAGAAGGACGTAATAGGATAAATATTAAAATAGAAGAGTTCGCTGTCTCACAAATATTTTAGCTTCTAAGTGCCTATACGAAACCGGATGCATTTTTATCAAACTCCACAGCCTTTGCTTTTCTCATTCCGATGGAAGCAAGCTTCAAGAACTCGCGCGTTCGAGAAACGTGTTATGAAATGAGCACACAGCAGCATTTAGGATTTACGAGATTGTAGAAAAATAAAATCCCGTGACGCGATTTTTTTTTTTGCACAGTTTTCCAATTCTTTTTCTTCCGTGCAAGCCGCGACCAGCGCAATACTGGTTCCTATGTCAAGATTCATGGATGCAGCGTTTGCCAAGATTCATGGATGCAGCTTTTATATTTCTAAGACTGAGTGGAGAAGAAAAATATGTAAGCGAGGTGTGTGTCAGTTGACGGCACTTAAAAAACAAATGGCATTGATAGCACATTCATTGTCAACAGCGCGTGGCCGAACCGTTTTGACATGAGCCGGTAACCGTTATTTTTTTCCGGTTCAGTTCCGGTTCGGGTTCATCGCGATAAAAATATAATGGTTCGGGTTCGGGTTCAGTTCCGGAAAAAATACCGGTTCGGTTCCGGTTTTCGGTTCGGTTCGGTTCCGGTTCGGCACCCTGATATATATATACAACGGATATGGTGGCGGGAGGCCGAAGGCGTGGGTATATAACTGAGAAGAAAACCCTTAGTGGAAACAGCAACAACGGACGATTTAATCTTCGACGTTTCGGCCGGAGCCCGCCTTCGTCAGGAAAGCCGGACTCCGGCCGAAACGTCGAAGATTAAATCGTCCGTTGTTGCTGCTTTCACTAAGGGTGTTTTCTTCTCAGTTGTGTATATATATATATATATATATATATATATATATATATATATATATATATATATATATATATATATATATATATATATTAACGCACAGTCAGAAAGAAAGCGACGTGACAGAAATAAGGGAGGAAAAAGACGAGGAGGAACGGAGGAATGCTCTGAATAGAAGGACGAAACTATCACAACCTGTGTTTACCGCTACATTTGATGGAAGCGTTGGGATCAGCACCCGATACTTTTTGGGAAGGTTTTCCTGCATTGCATTCAAGTATTTTCTTTACAAACACTTATGCAATGTTGTTCAAAGGCTTTTAAGACATTGAACAAAAGTATATATATACATATATACAGAGAGAGAGATAGAGAGAGAGGGAGAGAGGGAGAGGGAGAGAAACGTAGCGCAGGACGAGGAAAAATATATGACAGAAAACGCAGTTGACACGGTTGTTGGAGTTTTTAAAACATATTATTCGTAATGTTCGTCGACGTCTCGGCCTGAGACTGAAACGTTAACGAACTTTACGAATAATATGTTTTAAAAACTCCAACAACCGTTTCAAGTGCGTTTTCTGCCGTATAAATATATAGGGTGGTCCAAGTCACCAGGCTAGATCTAAAATGGATCGTAAAAATCGACGCCTGGACGTAGCAATCTAAGCTTTTCGTCAAAGGTGTATTTCACATGTCGGTCCTTTCTCGTAAAATTACAAAACGTAGCTCTCTTTCTGTAAAAAATAGGGCCAAGAAACTTGCCAGGGTCTACGGCGGGCGGCGACGCAGACGACCAAGTCCAGTAGCGGGGTGTGTTTGGCGTTTGTATTCATAAATTGCGTCGGGAGCAGCGTCCGAAGGTGCAGCTGACCAGCGAAAGAAAACAGACGACACGCAGATGAAATCCGTTTGCAGCAAAAGCGCCATCGTTATGCAGACACGTTATTTTGCTTTAAGTTTTGCTTTTATTGTCCGCATTTATTTTTTAACCGAGGGTACATTTAAAAAACATTATGTTCGTTTTAATAAACCTCATGGACGCGAGCCGTCGCTATAAGGAGGTAGCGTCATCTAGCCATACGAACGCCAAACACACCCCGCTACTGGACCCCATTCATCTGCGTCGCTGCCCGCCGTAGACCCTGGCAAGATTATTGGCCTTGTTTTTGGATTATATATATT